AAGATCAATTCACAACTTGGGTAGGTAGACTGGAAATCAAAGTAGTTACTTTGGTACCAGACGTTGGAGGCAAGTTGGGAACGACGAGGCTGATATCGAATCTAACCAGATTCCCACCCGAATCACCAAATGGTTAGAACGTCACATTTGGGTGCCGCGACCAATACCAAACCAGTTGGTCACCACAGGATGGGATAGCACGACTGACGCAGACAGGCGGACGTCACGTTTGGAGCGGTGACACCCGCGGGGGGCGTCACACCAAGGTAGAGTGAGAATCAGACCATAGGCAAACATATCTATATATATATATATATAGGCGTAGATATGTTTGGGTTGCAACCTTTCTTTTATCATCTTTCACTAAATATGATGGACAAAAACTGACTCACTCCCACCAAAAGGAAAAGTGTAAGAATGCTGGAAAAAATAAATAAGAGACTAAATGGATTTTGCTTGTCCAACATATTTCACGGTGTGTGTGTGTATATACATATATATATATATATATATATGTACATACACATATAGAGCCTTTATTTTATTCTTTTATTTTTAAAAAATGAGGATGTATTTTGCTTTTGAAACCAAATTAATTGTTCACTCGCCAGTAATTTACAATTGTCTGAGGAGACGCGTCATTTTATACACACACACAGCCATTATTTTTTTTTTCTTAGAAATGAGGATGTATTTTGCTTTTGAAGCCAAATTAATTGTACAATCGCCTGAGGAGACACATCATTATGTGTTGAAACATGACTACAATTGTGTAATGATCCTTACATTTTTTGTTGTAATATCCTAAAATAAATCATATTGCTCTACTATGTATTGAGCTCCCTTTTAAATTAAATGTTACAAATGTTGGAAGTGTACTTTATTTGTTCTCATCGTGCCTGGAGATTTTTATATATATATATATATATATATATATATATATATATGTGTGTGCACACCCAGTACACTCAAACAAAAAAATGTACCCACATTTTGACTGTCATCAGTTTGAATATTTATAAAATGCACTTTATTTCATTTGATATTTAATCTAAACCATTAATTTTCTTTCTTAGTCAATAAACATTAATATTTCTTAATTTAAAACATTAGTGATGTTTGCAATTTAGTAAACAATACATTTATTGTCATTTAAAAAGTGAGGATATTTTGTGGGGCACCCTGTATATTTTGTTAGAAATCCTTCTTTTATACATATTTCATTGAATATGATGGGCTATTTTTTAAGATTTTTTTCCACATCCTTGCAATTTTTCTTTTATGAGAACTAAGAGAGTAGAAAATGGCCATCATGATTATCATCCCAAACATTTTCATCTTATACTTTGCGCGTGTGTGTGTGTGTTTGGGGTGGGTGGCATAATTTGATTAAAAGGTTTTTTTTTTTTAAATGCTTGGTGATCTAAGAAATAGAAAGGAAAGAATTTTCACAATAACTGGTAGAATTCTTGGATAGAATATAATGTATAGAATATTTTTTGCTTAATTTCACATTTTCTTTATTTTTTGACTAGCTTAAGACACACTGATATCAATAGTTGACACATTTGAGGAGGTGCTGACGACAAAAAAAAAAAATAAAAATTCGGTATCTCCCAAAAGACTTTTGATCATGCCACTCAATAATGCCAAGAGAATAGACCCAACGATAACTCAACAAGTCAAAAGAGTTAAAACAAAGAAGAAAATTTAGAACGAAGTTAAACATTCAGGTCTTAACCCAAAGTGATCTTTCCTCCTGACCTGCCACTGAAAATGATGTTTCTTGCTCAACTTGCTATCAAAAGTGAATTTTCTTGCTGAGAGGGAGAGGGTGGTATCCTTGCATCATAACTAAGTTAGAACTCTTCAGTGCGAAAGACCAAAAGAGCACCAGCAAAATTTGACGTTTAAAGGAAAAAAAAAAAGAAAAAAAAAAAAAAAAAGAAAAAAAAAGAAAAAAAAGAAAAGAAGAAAAGGCTGCAAAACAAGTAATCACACATCAGATTCTTTCCAGAACCATTGATTTAAGCTGAAATTTCCATTCAAAACCACTTTTCCCTTCTTCCCAATTTTCCCCTAAATTGCAAGCAGCATTTCCACTCTCGTAATCTCAATTTATTCAATTTTTTGTTCTTGAATCAAATTAAATCAATCTCTTTCTCAAGCAGATAATCTCATCAAATCCAATTCATTTATCCTCTAAGACTGATATCTCCTGTGTGTAGGAGAGACATGGATTTGTCCTACCCTAGATTCTGCTATTTCGCAACCATTAAAAGACTGAATTCTTTGAAGGAATTTAGATGTCAGCATTAAATCAGTAAATACAAGGAATTATTGTTGCCAAGAGGAAGAACACAAGAAAAGCAGGAGAGAACGCAAAAAGGGAGAGAACACAAGAGAGAGAATGAAGACACAGGAAAAAAGAGAGAAAGAGAAAATTCGAGAGAGCTAGAAAGAAGCCAGGAGAGATATAGAGAGAGAACCCAGGAAACACAGAGATAGATAGAGAGAGAGAACCCGAGAAAGAGAGAGAGAACCCAGGAGAGAGATAGATAGATAGATAGATAGATAGATGGATAGATAGATAGAGAGAACCGAGGAGAGAGAGAGAGAGAGAAATAGATAGAGAGAACCCAGCAGAGAAAGAGAGAGAGAGAGAGAGAGAGAACCCAGCAGAGAAAGAGAGAGAGAGAGAACCCAGCAGAGAGAGAGAGAGAGAGAGAGAGATAGAGAGAGAACCCAGAGAGAGAGAGAGAGGAGAGAGAAGAGAGAGAGAGAGAGAGAGAGAGATAGAGAGAACCGAGCAGAGAGAGAGAGAGAGAGAGAGAGAGAGAGAGAGAGAGAGAGAGAACCCAGCAGAGAAAAGAGAGAGAGAAGAACCCAGCAGAGAAAGAGAGAGAGAGAGAACCCAGCAGAGAAAGAGAGAGATAGAAAAGAGCAGAGAAAGAGAGAGAGAAAGAACCCAGAGAGAGAGAGAGAGAAAGAACCCAGCAGAGAAAGAGAGAGAGAGAGAAAGAACCCAGCAGAGAGAGAGATGAAAAGAACCCAGCAGAGAGAGAGAGAGAGAGAAAGAGAGCAGAGAGAGAGAGATAGAAAGAAACCCAGCAGAGAGAGAGAGAGAAAGAACCCAGCAGAGAGAGAGAGATAGAAAGAACCCAGCAGAGAGAGAGAGAGAAACCCAGAGAGAGAGAAAGAAGAAGCAGAGAGAGAGAGAGAGAGAGAGAAAAACCCAGCAGAGACAGAGAGAGAGAGAGAAAAGAACCCAGCAGAGACAGAGAGAGAGAAAGAACCCAGCAGAGACTGAGAGAGAGAAAGAACCCAGCAGAGAGAGAGAGAGAAAAGAGAAAGCAGAGAGAGAGAGAGAGAGAGGAGAACCCAGCAGAGAGAGAGAGAGAGAGCCAGCAGAGACCCAGCAGAGAGAGAGAGAGAGAAAGAACCCAGCAGAGAGAGAGAGAGAGAAAGAAACCCAGAGAGAGAGAGAGAGAAAAAGAACCCAGCAGAGAGAGAGAGAGAGAGAAAGAAGAGCAGAGAGAGAACCCAAGAGAGAAAAACCAGCAGAGAGAGAAAGAACCCAGAGAGAGAGAAAGAAACCCAGCAGAGAGAGAGATAGAGAGAACCCAGCAGAGAGAGAGAGAGAGAACCCAGCAGAGAGAGATAGAGAGAACCCAGCAGAGAGAGAGAGAGAGAACCCAGCAGAGAGAGAGAGAGAGAGAACCCAGCAGAGAGAGAGAGAGAGACCCAGGAGAGAGAGAGAGAAAGAAACCCAGCAGAGAGAGAGAGAGAGAAGAACCCAGCAGAGAGAGAGAGAACCAGAGAGAGAGAGAGAGAGAGAGAGAGAAGAACCCAGCAGAGAGAGAGAGAGAGAACCCAGCAGAGAGAGAGAGAGAGAAACCCAGCAGAGAGAGAGAGAGAGAGAGAGAGAGAGAGAGAGAGAGAGAGAACCCAGCAGAGAGAGAGAGAGAACCCAGCAGAGAGAGAGAGAGAGGAAAGAGAGAGAGAGAAAGAAACCAGCAGAGAGAGAGAGAAGAGAGAGAGAGAGAGAACCCAGAGAGAGAACCCAGCAGAGAGAGAAAGAAAGAGAGAGAGAGAGAGAGAGAAAGAGAACCCAGAGAGAGAGAGAGAGAGAGAGAGAGAGAGAGAGAGAACCCAGAGAGAGAGAGAGAGAAAGAAGAGAGAGAGAGAGAGAGAAAAGAGAGAGAGAGAGAGAGAGAGAGAGAAAGAAAGAACCCAGCAGAGAGAGAGAGAAAGAAACCAAGAGAGAGAGAGAGAGAAAAAGAACCAGAGAGAGAGAGAGAAAGAAAGAGAGAGAGAGAGAAAGAAACCCAGAGAGAGAGAGAGAGAGAAGAGAACCCAGCAGAGAGAGAGAGAGAGAAAGAGAGAGAGAGAGAGAGAAGAGAGAGAGAGAGAGAGAGAGAGAACCCCAGAGAGAGAGAGAGAAAGAACCCAGCAGAGAGAGAAAGAGAGAGAGAGAGAAAGAACCAGAGAGAGAGAGAGAGAGAAAAGAACCCAGAGAGAGAGAGAGAGAGAGAAAGAAACCGCAGAGAGAGAGAGAGAGAGAAAGAGAGAGAGAGAAAGAACCCAGCAGAGAGAGAGAGAGAGAGAGAAGAGAACCAGCAGAGAGAGAGAGAGAGAAGAAACCAGAGAGAGAGAGAGAGAAAAAAACCCCAGAGAGAGAGAGAGAGAAAGAACCCAGCAGAGAGAGAGAGAGAGAAAGAACCCAGCAGAGAGAGAGAGAGAAAGAAAGAAGAGAGCAGAGAGAGAGAGAGAAAGAACCCAGAGAGAGAGAGAGAGAGAAAAGAGCAGAGAGAGAGAGAGAGAAAGAACCCAGCAAAGAGAGAGAGAGAGAGAGAGAGAGAGAAAGAAAAGAACCAGCAGAGAGAGAGAGAGATAGAAAGAACCCAGCAGAGAGAGAGAGAGAGAAAGAACCCAGCAGAGAGAGAGAGAGAGAAAGAAACCCAGCAGAGAGAGAGAGAAAGAAACCCAGCAGAGAGAGAGAGAGAGAGAAAGAAAAAGAAGAGAGAGAGAGAGAGAAGAGAAAAACCAGCAGAGAGAGAGAGAGAGAGAAAGAAACCCAGAGAGAGAGAGAGAGAGAAAGAACCCAGCAGAGAGAGAGAGAGAAAGAACCCAGCAGAGAGAGAGAGAAAGAACCCAGCAGAGAGAGAGAGAGAAAAGAACCCAGAGAGAGAGAGAGAGAGAGAAAGAACCCAGAGAGAGAGAGAGAGAGAGCAGAGAGAAGAAGAAAGAACCCAGAGAGAGAGAGAGAAAGAAAGCAGAGAGAGAGAGAGAAAGAAGAGAGAGAGAGAGAGAAAGAACAAAGAGAGAGAGAGAGAGAAAGAACACAGCAGAGAGAGAGAGAGAGAGAACCCAGCAAGAGAGAGAGAGAGAGAGAGAAAGAACCCAGAGAGAGAGAGAGAGAGAGAACCCAGCAGAGAGAGAGAGAGAGAACCCAGCAGAGAGAGAGAGAAAAAAAAGCAGAGAGAGAGAGAGAGAGAAAGAACCCAGCAGAGAGAGAGAGAGATAGAAAGAACCCAGCAGAGAGAGAGAGAGAGAAAGAACCCAGCAGAGAGAGAGAGAGAGATAGAAAGAAACAGAGAGAGAGAGATAGAAAGAACCCAGCAGAGAGAGAGAGAGATAGAAAGAACCCAGCAGAGAGAGAGAGAGATAGAAAGAACCCAGCAGAGAGAGAGAGATAGAAAGAACCCAGCAGAGAGAGAGAGAGAGATAGAACCCAGGAGAGAGAGATAAAAAGAACTTAGATGAGAGAGAGAAAGAATTCAGTAGAGAGAGAGAGAGAGAAAGAACTCAGTAGAGAGAGATGGTGAGGTCTCCAGAACTACATCATATTCCTTTGACTAAAACCCACCATGACATCTGTACCTATGTAAACGTACAATAGCAGCCCTCCTCTTAGCTTTTTACCAACTGGACAAATCACTGCCAATGTTGTGTGAAGATAAACCATTCACATCAGTGTGCACACAATCTGAAGTTTCAAATTCTGTTTGCAATATATTTAGTTGGTAATTCATGGATTCAATTACACGATCTGGGGGTGGTAGGTATGGAGTTGTCACTTGGGACAACCTCTGCTACTTCTGTCATGACAAACTAATGGATCAGCTTTTTCTTTCAACCAGCTTCAATCTCTCTATTACAACCCCTCTTCCCATAGTTACATCACAAAACACATATATGTCAATGACTGGCTTGGAACTACTCTCAATCCTAACTTTGTTTACACAAGTATGTGAATGGAAATTTCCAACACCCTGTGAAGTGCCATTGTTCCCAAAATTTTTAATTTATTTACTTATCATTTTATTCCCTTTTGGTCAAGTGAGTGGCTGCTTTCAAGACCTTACTTTGTAGGCTTTATTGCTGGTCATAAAGTAACATAAAAGATAAGCCCATTTACCATCCTCTTTGTGTCACGCTTAATCATGGAGTGCAAGGGTAAGCAAACTTTGTTGGACATTAATGAATCTGACCCACAATGGTGTACTATACTTGAAGGCTTGTGACAAACTGAATTAAGCTAAGTAAATGAAAATAAATATTAGTAATAATAATCATGACTCACTATGACGAGATACTTTTGCAATCTTGCTTCACTAATATTGGTTAATATTGGTGTTAAAGTCTAAACATATTTTAGATTGTAAGAATCGCTTTTTTTTTTTTTTTTTTTTTTTGAATAACTAGGATTTTCTTTTACAAGGATCGCCTCCCCCAGGCTGATAACATCAAGAAGTCAGCTTTCTGACAAAATCGACCCTGGTGAGATTCAAGCCCCATTCTAACCAATCAGCTACACGCCTAAACATGCACATACACACGAGAATAAAGATGAAAGGAAAACTAATTTTGGCTGATGCGAGAAGTATTTATAAACAAAAGTAAAACTGTTGTTAGTTTTGTTAAGAAAATAAAAAATAAAATAAAATCCTCACATTTACTGTCTGTCAGAGGACAAAACACGTCAGCTTAGATAAGTTTTCTTTTTGTCTTTATTCATAGTCCTTTACAGATATATTGTAGTTACAAGAATCCCTTGATTAGTGTGGCTAATTTGTACATCGGTAACTATAAAAAAGAATTGATTTTCAATTACTAAGGTTCAACTGAAAAATGTATTACTGCCCTGATCAAGTATTATGCATGCACTAAATGGATTTTGGTATATAAAAATTTTAGTACACTAATTGAAAATGTGCATTGATCGAGGAATGCATATCTGAAATTTTTTTACACACTAATCCTTTACAATTATTATCCATTATACCATGTACAAATCCAAGCTTAGAGCACATGGTATTCCAAAGTAGTCACCCATCCAGGTACTGACCTGGCTTGATATTATTTAACTTCAGTGATCGCATGGGGAGCTGGTATTTCAACATGATATAGCCATGAGCCGTACTCAACTGTGTGTGAGAGTGTTTAAAATTTCCTATATTTATAGAGGACCAATTTGATTTTGTGGGATAATAATTTGTAGTTTATTTAACCTTAAAAATATTCTGGATTGTACAAATATTTATTTTTATGAAATGGACAAAGTACGACAATCATTCTAAGACATTTTTATGTCTATACATTCTTTTTTATAGATACAAATATTTAAGTAAATGCTCTGTTTATAATAAACAGTATTAACAACATTTAACAACATTTACTGGCCTGAATGTCTGAGAAATTTCATAGAAAACATGCATCCTCCAACAGGAATCGAACCTGTATCCTATACGAAATCGTCATATAGCCTTACGTGCTTTTACCGATTTCACCACAGTGGAGCGTTTTGGTTATGTGTAGGATACAGGTTCAATTCCTGAAAGAGGTCATATTTTCTATGAAATTTCTCAGACATTCAGGCTAGTAAAATGTTTTAATAAAATTTATTATAAAGAGAGCATTTACTTAAATATTTGTATCTATAAAAAAGAATGTATAAACATAAAAATGTCTTAAATTATTGATTTTTGCAAGTAAATATTACATGAACAATTTTTTGAGAATAACAGTGATTTTCCCTCAGAGAAATCACATTATTTAACCCACAGCTGAGTAAGATTAATTCTTACCATTCTCAAGTGTATTTGCATGTAAGTAGCCATAATGAACCTGACTGTAATTCAAACTCAGCTCTCCGATTTCTCATTCCGAGCCACTATCCATTACACCACCCACCCATTCAGTGCTTGAGATAATCAATGTCAGAGGTTATTAATTAATGCCTTTTGTATTTGTTAAGCGCCACCTCCCTTAATTATATAAAGGAGGCAGAGAAAGAAAAAAAAAAACAAAAGAGAAACAGTAAGGTTACTGTTTCAGTGCCAGGACATGCAGAAATAAGGAAGACATAAAAATGGAAAGTTCTTTATTACTTCATTCTCCATACTAACCAGACGTTGAATGTTATGATTATCATTTGGTTGGGTAGGATCAAGATTAGCAAAAATAATGAAAAAGCATCAAGTTACTTCTTCACATTTCCTCTGTTTCTTTAAAAAAAAAAAAAAAAAGAGAAAAACCATAGCAAAATAAACAGATAAAATTCTTGAAGATAGCCTTTGTCATTAACAAAATTTTCCTTCAATAAGCATTTTCATCTATTGGCAAAAGCAAAATTCATTTCTGAAACATCAGGTTCAATGCCAATGCTGTTCACTTATTTTCAAAAGCTATATTAATACTCTTGAGAAAAAAAAAAATTATTTACAAAGTTATCGTAGAGTAATTAAGCATGTTAAATGTAACTGGCAGAAATGCTCAACAAACAGAATCAACAAAGTTTCCAATAAAAATAAGATAAAAAAAAAAAGAACAAGGCAAAAATGATTACAAATATATATATATATATATATATATATATATATATATATATATATATAGTTTATACGTTATTTTTATAGATGCAAATATTTAAGTAAATGCTCTGTTTTTTATAAACAGTATAAACAACATTTACTGGCCTGAATGTCTGAGAAATTTCATAGAAAATATGAGTCCTCTGACAGGAATTGAACCTGTATTCTACACATAACCATGATATAGCATTTAGCAACTATTTATATAATACAAATATAAAGTTTGTCACCTGACTGCTGTTACCTTCAGTATCCAAAGTCTAGAGTTTCCTAGACAGATCACCCAATGAGTGGATGGAGTGATAGTTGCAGAGTTTGTCTATGAAGCTCTGGAGTCTGTTTACTGAAGATAACATCAATCAGCTAAGTGACTTTATATTTGTATTCATTCTATTAATGCTCTATCTCTATCAAGCATTTTATTGCAAAGACTACTTGTCTTAAATGTCTTCTCTAAATCTAAATAATACCACTGACTGATAGCATTTTGGGCTTTATGATAGCTTTGTTATTGCACTATATATATATATATATATATATATATATATGTGTGTGTGTGTGTTTGTGAGTCTACCTACTCCTGTAGGGGGTTTGGTTTGTTTCACGGCATATCAACCATAATAGATTATTTAATGGTGACAAAATTTTTATTGCCGGTAAAATTTTGTTTTATCAAAAAATGTTTCTGGTAATATTTTTCCTTCAAAAATGTGTTGCTGGTAATAATTTTTTCCAAAAAAAAATTTGCTGGTAATATTTCTTTCCTCAAAAATGTATAGCTGGTAATATTTTTTTTTCAAAAATGTATTGCTGGTAATATTTTTTTTTTTCTTGAAAAATTTATTGCTGGAAATATTTTTTTTTCTTGAAAAATTTATTGCTGGAAATATTCTTTTTTTTTTCTTGAAAAATTTATTGCTGGAAATATTTTTTTTTTTTTCTTGAAAAATTTATTGCTGGAAATAATTTTTACAAGGGATTTCTGATATTAAAACCTATTTTTACACTTTCATAGTGTTTCTACCCCAGTTTCAGAGTTAACTATTTCCCCATAGCTTGGACCCTAACAGGTGCTACCACCCCGGGTCAGGGCGGACATGGGAACACCAGCAATTAAGAGGTGGTTCCACACTCCTCAAAACCTCCTGATCAGAGGCCTTGCTGCTAGCCAGGACAGTCCTATAAGAGGAAAAAAATATTAAACTTTACCAGATGGTTGAGATTTGGCATAACACAGCTTGTTTCGATAATAAAAAAAATCAATACATAACTTCTATAAATGATAACTGATAATCAGTCACATGACAAAGTATAGTCATAGGGTCAATATGCAGCTGAGAACCTGACCAGTTCCCTGTAAATATCTTGTTTTTTGATTGATTCATTTTCTACATCTTATCAACCTTTTGCAGGTTATTTAAAGACAGAAAATATTTTTAGATTGTAAGAATTTTTCTTGCGGGTGGGTAATGGTTTAGGGATATAAGTCTTACTAATTAACTCATAGGTGGGTAGAAAAAGTTGTTTCATACCTTTCCCAAAGGTATTTGCACGTAAGTGAATATCACAAGCTCGCCAGGAATTGGAACTTGGGTATCTGATTAATAATTCCAAGCCATTATCCATTACACCACCACCACCACCACCAGCACCTGGTATTCCCAAATGGTCATCCATCTAGATACTAAGAGGGCTCAAGGTTATTTAATTTCATTGATTGTATGTGGAGCAATTGCTGCAACAGATATATATTGGTTTAGCTTCTTTTATGGCATATCAAACCCATTGGGTCATTTAATACTGAAATTTAATTTTTTTCTAAATAAACCATTGTATTTGAGAAGTCAAAAAAGTTTATTTATTTTAACTAGTAATATTGCTGTTAGTTATGGTTATATTATTTTTAAATTATATTTTTGAAGCCAGTTTTATATGCTGCATTGACTGTCATTTTGCTACAAAAATGTATTTTCGCTCATTTTATAATAAAAATGTACTGTTTTTTGGCATTTACTATTTGCCCATAGCTGGGATCCTAACAGGTGCTACCACCATGAGTCAGGGTGGATGTAGGAACAACTGTGGTTAAAAGGTGATTCAATGCTCCTCAAATGCTCCAATCTTCTGATCAAAGGCTTTGCTGCTGGATGTAGTTCATCATCATACCAAGGACAAAAATCGATATTATATATATTTCAAAATGAGAACAAATAGCTATGCTTGAATTAATGCAAATGATTTTATTAATGTAGATTATTTTAACTTCACATCTTAGTCACAAACAGGCTTCAAAAGTTGTTCCATTAGCAGCTCAAGCATAAGCAATAATTGATTGATTTGTTTGTTTGTCTAATGGCATATCAACTCCTTATGGGTCATTTAATGCCAAAATTGAAATATTTTGAATACAATTTTATGGCTTCAGCTACAGATAAAATGTATTATTGGTTATTTTGCTTTAAAATTGTATTGTTGGTAATTTTTCAAATAAATGTGTCGTTGGTAGGTTTTTCATATAAATATATGTTGTTGGTAGTTTTTATTACAAATATCTACTGTTGGTAGTTCTACATATAAGTAAGTATTTTTATACTTTCATAGTGTTTTGTTTTTGTTTGGGGGTTCACTATTTCTGGGACCCTAACAGATACTACCAACCTAGGTCAGGGTGAACCTGGGAACAGCAGCAGTGGTTCCACACTTCTCAAAACCTCCAACCTCCCAATCAGCAGATTTTTTGTCAGATGTAGCATTATAGTGTACCCAGGACAAGTGTAAGGAATATTTCAATAAAACAGGGAATTGGAACATTTAAAGTCTTAAGAAACAGAATTCCTGAATTTACTGAAGTGAGATTAAAATTTCTGGCAACTTCTCATTTGTTATCTGTCTATATTTCTGAGATGAGGTATTATGTACACTATTCACATTATTCAGACTATTGTTCATCTTTGTTCATATTTATATATCTGTCTATATTTCTGAGATGAGGTATTATGTACACTATTCACATTATTCAGACTATTGTCCTCATCTTTGTTGCCATATTTATCCGATTTCAGTATCCCTCTATATTTCTGAGATTATTTGTACACTATTCACATTATTCAGACTATTGTCCTCATCTTTGTTGCCATATTTATCCGATCCTTCAGTATCTGTCTATATTTGTAGAACTATTCACATTATTCAGACTATTGTCCTCATCTTTGTTGCCATATTTATTCCCTTGAGATGAGGTATTATGTACACTATTCACATTATTCAGACTATTGTCCTCATCTTTGTTGCCATATTTATCCGATCCTTCAGTATCTGTCTATATTTCTGAGATGAGCTATTATGTACACTATTCACATTATTCAGACTATTGTCCTCACACTATTTACATTATTTATATTTCTGAAATGAAGATTATTGTCCATTATTCAGACTATTGTCCTCATGCCATATTTTGATCCTTCAGTATCTGTCTATATTTTGAGATAGTATTATGTACACTATTCACATTATTCAGACTATTGTCCCTCATCTATATTTATCCGATCCTTCAGTATCTGTCTATATTTCTGAGATGAAGTATTATGTACACTATTCACATTATTCAGACTATTGTCCTCATCTTTGTTGCCATATTTATCCGATCCTTCAGTATCTGTCTATATTTCTGAGATGAAGTATTATGTACACTATTCACATTATTCAGACTATTGTCCTCATCTTTGTTATATGTCCCTCATCTATATTTTGTATTATGTACACTATTCACATTATTCAGACCATATTTTATCCGTATCCTTCAGACTATATCATCTTTGTTGCCATATTTATCCGATCCTTAGTATCTGTCTATATTTCTGAGATGAAGTATTATGAGATGACTATTGTCCTCATCTTTGTTGCCATATTTATCCCGATCCTTTATCTATACACTATTTACATTATTCAGACTATTGTCCTCATCTTTGTTGCCATATTTATCCGATCCTTCAGTATCTGTCTATATTTCTGAAATGAAGTATTATGTACACTATTCACATTATTCAGACTATTGTCCTCATCTTTGTTGCCATATTTATCCGATCCTTCATTATTCAGACTATTCACATTATTCAGACTATTGTCCTCATCTTTATATTTGATGATATTTACACTATTTACATTACAAAAATTTATCCGATCCTTCAGTTGTACTATATTTCTGAGATGAGGTATTTCTTACACTATTTACATTATTCAGACTATTGTCCTCATCTTTGTTGCCATATTTATCCGATCCTTGTATCTGTCTATATTTCTGAAATCAAGTATTATGTACACTATTCACATTATTCAGACTATTGTCCTCATCTTTGTTGCCATATTTATCACAAATTTCAGCCGTTGTACACTCCGGCCTTCTTCAGGTGTGTATGCATGTATGTATGTATACATACATCAACACTGAAAAGTTTTGGTTTGGTTTGTTTTACGGCATATCAACATCAATGGGTTATTTAATGCTGATAAAATTTGTATTACTGGTAATATTTTGTTTTGTCAAAAATTTATTTCTGGTAATATTTTTCCTTCAAAAATGTATTGTTGATAATAATTTTTTTCAAAATGTATTGCTACTAATATTTATAGTTTAAAAACATGGTTGGTAATATTATTTTCAAAAATATATTTCTGGTAATAGTTTTTTTTACAAAGTATTTCTGGTATTAAAACATATTTTTACACTTTCATAGTGTTTTTACCCCAGTTTCAGAGTTAACTATTTGCCCATAGCTGGGACCCTAACAGGTGCTACCACCACGGGACAGGGTGAACCTGGGAACACCAGCAATTAAGAGGTGGTTCCACGCTCCTCAAAACCTCCTGAACAAAGGCCTTGCTGCTGGACGTAGTTTATCATCATATCCAGGATGAAACACTGAAAAGAGCCTCAATATATGCAAATACCAAATTTATACAGCAGATGCTGAATTAATGCAAGCATTCTTTTCTGGCATATTCAAGTGATTTGCTCTAAGTGCCAACAGCATTGCTGGTATATACAAAAGAGGAGGAGATGCGGAGGAGAGGTGAATGGATTAATTACACCAATCGGAAAGGAGATCCATATTATTGCACCTCCAATCCATTTGCAATACCAGTGATGATTATTCATTAACTCAATAATTTGATCGAGTTGAGGTCCTTATTTCACAAACTCCGATCCAATCTGATCCAGGTCAGGCTACGGTGATCCTGGGAGCGAGGGGAAAAGTGTTGCCAGAATAATCACAATGCTAGAGACAGACCAATCAAACAAAGCAGGCAGCCAATCTATCATGAGCCACAGCGCATAAAGTTTGAACCTCTTCCTCACACCTTGCTATCATGTTGATCCAAATTCAGATCTTGTTCTCACTGCCCAGGGGAGAATTGGCAGGGGAGTGGGCGTATATGACATATGATACTTTCATTCTGAACTGTAGGAGGAGAAGAAAGAAAAAAATTCCTGATGAAAAAAGAATATATTTTGACAATGAAAAAAAAAAAATGACATCTTGTGGTGTCACTAACTCTTTGAGAATGAACATGCAATATGACAGGAGAAACAGAAATGCCCCCCCCCACCTTTTTTCTTTTTAATCATGAGATTTACTCTGTACAAGGCCTGAGAATCACTCAAGGTGGAGGGTTACTGTTGTAATGGAATGTCCCACACTCCCTATCGCCTATTGCGGACTGACTATATCAGTAGATATATATAGTGTGCATAGGATATACCTGGTGGACTTGCTTCGGGAATTACTAGCTTGCTAAACGATTACCAGTCTTTGAGTAGTATATTCTCTTTTACAATAAACCTCTCTTTCTTTCATCTATGCCCATGTTGCTGTTCCTTTCACTTGAGTATCACCTTTTTCTTTTTGTAACCTCGTTAAGGATACAACAGTTACAAAGTAAGAGCCACAGTTTATACAGATACGTGTGGAAAATAATGATTAACCCTCAACTTGAACAGGCTAAGATTGTAGTAATCAGGGAGAGCATCCTCTTAGGAGTTGGATTTCACAAAGTAGCAGATCTTAGCCATGAGAGTTAGAACGGGTGGAACCAAGAAAAAAATGGTAGATAGGTTTATCTATCATCCAATTCACACTCCTCTCTGGTCTTTTGAACAAGAGTATAAATTTATCCCTTGTTTCAAGTTGGGAATTGGGTTTCTGGTTCCTTCTTAAAGTCTACTTCAGCTCTATACTCCAGTTGTCCTTTCCTATGCTAATTTCCCACAGTAACCCTCTTCCTTGAGTGGCTCACGCATAGTACATATATAAGGAGTCACAAAAAATGTACTCACTTTTTGACTTTTTCTGATTTTTTTCTTTTTTTCAGATCCAATGTATTTCATTTAATATTTGATTTTAGCTATCAATCTTGTTTGTAAGTCAATAAACACTGCCTTTACTGTCATTTAAAGAACGAGTACATTTTTTTAGGGCATCTTGCATAATTGTTATACTACACCCTGGACATTACATATATAATTCTCATTAATAATAGTGATTTCCCAAGTGTAGCTTAGATGTGGCACAAGGCCAAAAGTAGGCGGGCACTCAGTAAGGATCAAACTCACTACTCAGTTGTAATTGTTCTCGTGAGACATGCTTGCTAACCATTAAACTGCTTTGAGACGCCCTAATTCTTGATAATAATATATCATATTCATTACATATATAATTGTTGTTTGCACTATATTGTATAAGTCACATATATAATTGCTGTGTTTTTTTTTTTTTTTTTTTTCACCCCACCTCCCCCCATGTCATATATGTTAGATATATAATTGTTGTTAACACTATGTCATACAATGGAAGGACAGGATTTATTAAATTTCTCAATCTTTAACTATCAACACACGCCTTTTCATTAACACTTTCACTGTTGCATTGTTCATTGTTGCATGACTGTGCTGGCCTGTTTGGGTTAAAACAGGAAAATGCCACCCAACATGTCATGAAGATAGTATTGTATACATCTCTGCTGGTTTTGAAATAGCACTAAGTGCTAGTTAGTTTCTAACATAAACACTAGGGGCTGACATTTCATGGCAGCTTGAAAACACATATTAGGTTAAGCAGAAGTGTTAATATGTTTTCCAAGTCTTAACAAGATAATTGTCTGGTGGATTAAAGCATTGATTCATGAATTTGGTGACACATATTATATTAGGTACCTCCACGAGATCGCTAAAAAAAGAGCATAGCATGATGAAAAAGACGCCAAACTTGACGAAAACAAAATTTTATCGTCTAAATGTTTGTTATTATTAAGAGGAAAGGTCAAAGTATTTTTGGGGTATTTTTTTCCATTTTTTAATCGTTTCTAGCACGTCCGAAATTTTCGTTAAAAATCTAGTTTTTTTTTGAGTCAGCAAAATTGACCATTTTTTCCATTTTAAAAAAACTGGAAATCTGACTTTGAAATTTTTTTTAAATATCAATTATCATTTTTTCAAAACTTATTTTAAGAAAATCAGAAATTATAATGTTTATTTAAAATATTTTGAACCAAACTTAACTTAGCTTTTGTGCCAAAAAAGATGTAATTTGAAAATAAAACAAAGCAGGTCATAAACTTTTCGTGTCTCTTGACATGTGATGAATGATATATTCTGAATTCCATGAGGCTAATTTGTTCTACGGAAGGAGAAAAAGTGAAATAATTTACATTTACGTGAACAAATTATTTACCCCGTTATTTTTAACGAAAACTTTCAGCGGTAATTTTTTTTTTTTTGTACTTAGCTTTCACCTTTACGTTTATGATGCTTTATGGGAAATATATTGTAAAGAAATTAAAATAAAACTGTTAAGAGTGACATTAAATTTCATATATCTTAAGAAAGATATCTAATTAATTTATAGGTACCTTTCTTATGAAATTTTTATCAGAATTGTACATAAAATACTATAATTTTATGTACATTTATTACATTCTACTGTTATTTGTATTTATTCATTTTATTATTAATTTTGATATTTCATTTATGGAAAAATGTCGTAACTGAGATTAATATAAAAATAAGATCATATAAATTTCATAAGATGATACTGATACTTGTAGGTACCCTTCTCAGTTGAAATTGAAAATCAAATTAACTTCTTCACACGTGTTTTAGGAAAAGTAAAGGCCTTAACAGCGGAGAACAATGCTTAACTCAAATAATTAACTTAATTATATTCTGGTTGGTCTTCCGTATTTTATAATTACAGCTCGATTATAAGTACAAAATTACATTTCTTAATTACTGGGGATCTTCTGATTAGTCAAAATGATACAATTTACAACGTATAAAAAAAGATCTATCTCATAAGGACACTTATGAAAAAGCCGATCGACTTTTAACTAATTTTAATATTTTAACAACTTAAATGTAAAATCTATTATAATTAATGAAATAACAAATAATTGTATTAAAATTCATTTTTCATCGAAAAAATTTTTTTGCTTTCAGAAAATATTGTCCATATTCATAAAAAACAAATAAAAGCATTTGAAATTAAATAATATCTTTGTTTTATTGAGTTTTGTATGTTATAATTCAGAGCTGATTTTCAAGTACTGCGTATCCAATTAAAAAAAAAAAAACATGATTTGCATTCCTCAAAGCCCTGTGCTTTTAATTATTGTAATCACTAAAACCGATGTGATCGAATTTCTAGCATTTTCATAAAATTAGTTATGGGGGGTAATAAATATTTTTTAAAAAATATTTCTACCATGACTTTCAAAAAAAAACATATTTATAATAATTTCGATCATCTGTGAATAGTTCCTGAAAGTTTCATTAACATCCGATAATTATTTCTATTTTTGCACGATTTTTCAAATTAATGTGTGTCATACCAAAAAACGCTAAAAAATTGTCTATGTTATTTACTAGTTCCACTGATACAAATAGAAAAAAGGTTTTTTTTTAATCAAAATTTAGAATGTTCTAAAAGAAGGAAAATTTTTAAAAATAATTAAAAAAAAAACTTTGGTCTTTTCCTCTTAATAATAACATAAGCATTTAGTCAATAAAATTTAGTTTTGGCAAGGTTGGCGTTTTTTCATCAAGCTATGCTCTTTTTTTAGCGATTTCGGTGGAGGTACCTATATTATATATATATATATATATATATATATATATATATATATATATATATATATATAAGTAATAATAGGTAAGTCCTATTAACAAAACATAGAATTTGAAATATGTTAAAACTCACAAAAGAGTGCTCCTTGTTTATTTTCATTAAACAGAGAAAATTTTCTTTACAATTGGAATTAAGATACCTTTAGTAAATGACCATTTTTACCTACAAATTTTAATTTTAAAATTAGGATTTTTCAAACTGTTTATGGTATCAGTTTGTAGTGTACTGTTTATTTGGAGAGAGAGAGGGGGGTGAGTGTGTTATTGGGGACTTATTGCGAGGTAAGGGGGAGAAGAAGGAGGCATCTTTACTGGAACCATATTATGGATGTAGGAGAGCCTGGGTAAGGGGAGGGAGTCCGATGGGCTGACCTACATCCTAATGGCCACACAATCAAAATTTAATTCAATGGGAATTCACAGAAATTAATGAAAACAGGAGAAAAAACAATCAAGAGTTAACTTTGGTAAAATGAAAGACAGTTAATTCAGAATTATTGATATTAAACTCACCCATATATCAGAGTTCAAAGTTTGAGGGAGTGTTTTTAAGGACTTGGAGTGGATTTGGATATATGCGTATGCATTCTCATGCATTTGTCCATATTAAATAATACCTACTCATATAGTTGTCTGTACTAACATATGCTTAGATATCTACATTTAAGCAAAAAAAAAAAAGTGTATATATATATATATATATATATATATAGGTGTGGGGGGGGCATAAATTGTCTAAATTATGCAAAAATGAAAATAACACTGACATCTCATTTTAACAGAACCAAAATTACACAAAAATATCTTGAAATACTAAAGTAAATTTATAGAATAAAATTGCCATTGGTTTCAACCATTGTCTCCTGCAACTCTTCTGGACAGTCCCCTTGTTTAAGTTAGTGAATGCTGCCATAATCCTTGCTTTCAGTTCCTCTTTGGTATTATGAGTTTTGTTGGTCTCTTGCTCAACTGCACCACACACACATAATAATCAAGGTAGTTGTAGTCTGGGGAATTAGGTGGCCAGGTGTAAGGGATGATGTGGTCACAGAAATTGTCTGACTGCCAGAAAAAGGTTCTCCTTTTTGTGTGGCACGGTGCAGAATCCTGTTGCCAGACAGGGTCTTCCAGCAGCCACCTTCTTGACTCAAGGCAGCACTACTCCTCAAGGCGTGTTGAGTTTGAGGCCATGTAGGAAGTTATGATGGTATAACTTCATCAACAGTGATCATGCCAAACACCTTTATAATCACCATTAGACGCAGTCAATTCTTTTCAAATAATCTGCACTGTCCTCAGATTGACACCCAAACACTCTGAAATGTTCATATTAGAGCTTCCGGAATTAATGGCAAGCAGAACAGTATGCCATTTTCAAATTTGTGGGCAAGT